TATAGAGTCCCCATAATTACATTGAGGCTCACACAGATTGCAGGTTGAGCGCCCCCTGTTGGTCTCACCACACCAATTCCAACAGCAACCTAGCTTCGCCCTGTTGTCTCTAACCTGTGTACTGATTGGCCGCAGCCCTGCTTAGCTTCAGTGGGCAACACTTTTAATTATTCAATAATAATAAAAAAAAAACCTCACAAACTGACTAATTTAAAATGAGTCTGATGAATCCTGCACAGATGTAACTCAAAGAATCAGTCATAATTAATTTGTTTGTCAACATATTTCAGTTTTCACTTTTGAAGATGAAGTTCTAACAGCTTTTGCTGACTGGCTCACTTCCCAAAGTTATGAAGTTAAGAAAGCAGTTTCAGAATTTGATCAGGGACCAAATCCTTTTTTAATTAAAACCTTAGTTTCCTTGTTGTCCAGTAAATGTTTTACTTGAAACATAGTCATGGAAACATTAGATTCTTCATAATATTCAGTTTCCTTCTTCCTTATTCATCTTACATAATTACAGTCAACTCATTTTCTTTGCACTTGCTCACTGGGGTTCCAATCTTCTGTTTCTTCTTAATGCATCTTGTATTGTCATGTTCAAACACAAAAATGACCGGTCATGTACAATTAGATTAAAGAATTCACTACAACGTCTCTGTATAATGTAGCATCATATATATTTTTTAATATAAAATCATGCTTTTTAGTTGATGCTGGTTTTAATTAGTTAATAAGAATGAATTACATAATCAGGACGTTGAATGAATGAATGTACATAATCACAGAATGAATGTACATAATCAGGACGTATCCCTACAACTTCAACTTGTGTCTGGGTTAGCCCTTTGGAGGGGGAGTGCTACATATGATAAGCTGGTTAGCGGGTAGGGAAGACACGGGTCCGCCTGGTCAGGGGAATACTCCGTGGCTGAAATAAGCATATGGGATTGCCACTGGGGGCCGTGCATAGCTGGCTCCGAGCGGCAGCATGTGGGTAGACCAGACATCACACTAAGCCAAGCATCCAGTTCCTCAGATGATGGGGGCCTCAGAGGTATTTTCTAGGGTTCGCCAAACGGGGAACTTACTAGCAGAATAGAAAGTCCACGTATCTCTGGGTTAGGGAGCATGACGCAGCAATCGTTTTTAAAACCAAGCTTAATTTTTTCCTGATTGACCTGGGTACCCAGTGACCAAGAGGAAACTGGCTCCACTTGAGGATTATAAAATTTTGCACATGTGTTAGGTGTCGCACAGTTTACAGCTCTACATAATCTGTAAATAGGCGGCGCATACTCATGCTGAAAAGGAGGCACCGCTCTATATAGTGGGCTAACTCTCCTGGGGGTCACAGCTTGCCCTGGCACACAAAAAGAGGTCATTGGCATAAATTTTAAAGTGGACCAACCTTTGCTTTGATATGGCACTTCCCTTCTGCCGATCATAACAGAAAAGAACTGCTTGAAGACATATGCTCTACGTGTCACATTAATATAGCAATGAAAAGGCCGGGTCTGCCTCCTCTGCAGAAAGCACATGCAGGTTCACTACCTGATATTAAAATGGCGGTAGGAACTTTGGCACATACCGGGGTCTCAGGTAAAGGAGAGAATTGACCAGTCCGAATTACTGGCACGAAATCCTGACCCACCTGATTGATGTCAATGCGACCAGCAGAGCTGCCTTCATGGACAGAAAACGTATAAATACTGAGTCACGTAGCACAATGGACCTCACCATGACCCATGGGGCTAGAGAAATCCCAAGAGGGCAAGAGACAGGGGAGGGGATAGAATTAACCATCTTGTGTCACGCGGCTCTGAGGAACCGGCTGATGAGTTTAAGTCTTTCCAGAGTGCTACCATCTGCCTCCCCACAGAGAGCGGGGAAAGCAGCACATCAAACCTTCAGTGCGAAGGGTGACAGCCTGCGCTCCAGCTATCCTGAAGGAAGAAAACAAAGCACTATCTGAGACATATCTGTGGTTTCTCTCAGATTGAAGTGCTCCACACAACAAATAGACTCCACCACAGCACATAAGCTTGCCAATACTAGGTGCTCTAGCGAGTGACCGTGTTAACCATCAAACTGATTGATAATATAAGTCCTCCGTTCTCTGTCTACAAACCATCCATAAAGGTTCCAGAATCCTGCACGAGTGCCAGTGGATGCCACGTCCCAGAAAAAATGCGTACAAAAATGGAGTAAGTGTCCCTCAGGTCTATAGCTGCAACCAATCCCACGGATGAATGCACTGGGGGATGCGTTTGTACCCTGGTGGATTTGGTCGATTGTATCCTTCGCCAGGAGGATAACAATTTTCTCAATCATGACAGGAGTGGCATTGCGATGACCACTTAATTACACACCCGTGAACTCGGGAGGCCTACAGCGAAATGAAATGCGTAGTCTGACCATCTGTGCTAACCAGACTGACAAAATCTGAACGAGCAGCATTACCTGAATGATCACTGAGTACCCGCAGAGGGGCAGCTTCGGGAGGGGGAGTGCTCACCCTGGGAAGCAGTGCGTCCCAAAGAGGTGATGAAAATAAGAGATTGACTCTTACATTCCTCCCAGGATCCCATGGAGAGGCTGGAGGTGTGAGAGAAAGAAACCATCCTCTGGCACCTCAAAGCCTGTGGCGAAGTGCACCAAAGCTGAGAGCTGGAAGGCAGTGTGTCCCATGCTGGCAGCAATTGGACTTCCAGACCAGGACTGAGGAAAAGCCGCTCTTTTTTTGGATCGCTACATTCATTCATGGGGGGAGCCCCCGGTTCTCCTCATCTTCAAGTGGCCTGTCTCAGGTTAGCTTCCCGGCCCAATCACAGGTTTCTCACAGGCCGACTGATTTCTCTCCACCGAGGACTCCTGGGTAAAGTTGAATGACTTGAAGGTCATTAGAGCATAATCGACCACCATGTGAGGAACCCTTGTGCCGCACAGTGAGGTGGTGACATGGTGCAGGGCTGAAGGGGCATGGCCCGCAGTAGTGTGGGCTCTGGCTATGAGAGACACAGATAACGCACCCGCCTTGGATAGGGGTCTCGGCTTACCCCTCCAGGTGGTGGCACCCACCACCTGAGGAACCCACTTCTTTATACCCACTGGCCCACCCAGTGGCCCACTGGAATGTCACACCCTCTAGTTGGTCCTGCAGTGAGACTTGGGGACAAGTCATCTCTAGCCACACTGCCGAAGCAGCCTAGGAAGTGCAGCCATCATGTCTGACTTGAGAACCAGACCACGCATTGCACCCCATAGGATGGTAGTAGGCCCGGTCTGTCATCTGAGCACGACAGCTTGCTCTCCGATGTTGTGATGGGCAACTTATCTCCAGTGTTATTAAGCGGAGGCATGGGTATCCCAGAGGATTAACCGACACTACCACACCAAACTTGGATTAAGTGTGCTGTGGAGGATTGGGGCCTCTACCCATACCCATCATCCAGGAGCCACCGCACCCAGAAACACACAGAACAGAGTCTTGAAAAAGACGTGTTGATTGACTGTGTTGCTATCTTAGGAAATCTGCTCATTCAATGGAAACCATTGAATGGAAATCCAATGTCACATCTTCTCCCGCACAGGTGAGTAAACTGGTTTTAGTCCTAAAATCAGGCTGGCAGAGTGTCATCAGTCTCGTGAGGTAGTCTCTAAAGTAAAATTCTAATGCTCGCTTCTCAGCAATCAGCTGATATACTCTGCTAATGCCTAATCACAGAAAACTATGGAGCTGAGCTGAGCCAATTCATTTGGCACTCACTGGCCATATTTTTTACTCATCAGATTGATTGGCCATCTGGTGAACTCCATTAGTCTGCTCCAGACACACGTTGTAGTTCCCATGAATTGGAACTGGTGAATCACTTTTTAAAACATTTGAGAAAATCATTTCATCATTAAAAGAAGAGAAAACTTGAAACCTGTCTAAATGCAATAAGGAAATAAATACAGATCAGCATCATTTCACATTTTACTCGACATGGTTAATGATTCCCTCCCATCTAGTTTAAAGGCTCGGGTCTGTTTTGCAGATCGGTAAAAGTATTTTGCTGACCATCAAGTATCACTATGGAACAAAGTGCTGAGTGCAGGTAATTAAATTTTCTTTCACACATTAAAAAATAATAATAAAATAAAAATGATAAATTATATATATATGCATACATATATATTCAAAGACTATATATGTGCTTGAGTCTGCGTTTATGTATTGTATTCTAAGCTTCTTTTCATCTAAAACAGGCAATTACGGGATGTGCACAAAAAAGAACATAAGCAAGATGAGCAGAAGGAACAAGAACAGTATGTATTTCATATATATATATATATATATATTCAAACTTTCATTCCATATATTCAGACATTTATTCTATATATGTAATATATATTAATATATTCTTCCATATAGGAAATTTTGGGATGTGTGCAGAGAAGTGCCAATCATTGAAAATGAGCAGATGCCAAAGAAACGAATGCACTGTCTGAAATGGTTTGCATGTACAGTTGTTGGCTTGCTTGTCTTCATCCTTGCACTTCTCAGTAAAGTGAGCTGCTTTATTAATAATTGTCTAAACATTTTATTGATGATGAGATAACTATTAACTCATCGATTTAATAATGTACAAAAAGATTTGTCTTACTGAAATGATCAATTTTTGTTTTTACAGACATCATTTCTGCTTTTGATAACGTTTGGAAACAATCAAACAGACATTATTCATTCAGACAAAAAGCCCACTGCTCTACTTGCCATTGGGTTTGTTCTGGTCGGGCCAAATGTTCTGCTCCTGCTAAAAAGCACATGGAAGTTCATTTTCAAGAGTGCAATCATGCCAGCTAAAAAAACAGTTTTCTGGGTAAGCAGACATTATGTACCACCATAGAACCTAATTGTTTTAGCCAAAACCTTTCTGACTTTGCCCTTTCCTCTATAGGTCCTTTGTGTTGAAATCCTGGTAGCATTGGGAGCTGCAGTTCTTACAATTGTAGCCATGCCACACTTTGACATTGTCACTAATGTGATGATCCTAAACAGTGTGAGCATTTTATCCGCAGTTTTCCAGGTGGTTGCAGAGTGCCTTGCCAAAGAGAGGAAGCGTCTTATAATGCTCCCGGTTTTATCTATTATCTTCATAGTCCTGGGTTATGTGTTGTTTTTGGTCAACTATCTGGTATTCGAAAGTTCTTTTTGTATAACAATTGGACTTGCCATCTTTGGGACCATCTGCGTTTCTATGAACTGGTGGGAAAACTACAGCACACTTTTCAACAGTTTACACCTAAAGGGGATATCCAAAGACATTGGCAAATCTCGTAATGCAGTGAACATCATCTCCAGCTTGACAAGAATCCTGATTACTTCAGCTGTGATTGGAGCTTATGTTGCTCTAATAGGTGATGGCTGGAATTCAGTCAAACTTGTCTTTGAAACGGTTGTCATTGCATTGGTTGTCATCCAGACTCTATCCTCAGCCTTGTGTCGCTGGTTTGTGGTCGTGGCTTGCAAGATGCACGCTTTGCGACGTAGTTTTTTTATGCCCATGTACTTTGCCTCAGTTATAGTTTTGGCAGTGTTTTTGTCTCCACTTGTAGTCAAGTTCCCTGTGTCTAATTACACTTCAATCCCTCTAGACAAAAGTGAATCCAGTGTAGAGTGGGTGAAGTTGTTGCTGGCCGATGCCATAAAAACTTTACTCACCAGAGACATTGTGGTAAACATGAAAACAGAAGGACTGGTCTGTTTAGGCTGTTCTGCTCTCTTCTGGTGGCTGGGACTTGTGCTTAGCACAGTTTACATCTGGTTCCTAAAGATCCATCGAATTGAAAGAACCCAAGATCTGTTTGTGCAACGCATGTATGAAGGAGCGTTTTTGGAGCAGTCCTTGTTGCTGAACACCCGTTTTGAAATCAGAAAGAAAATCAAGGACAAACAGTGGTAAGTGTTTACATTTTTTTTAGTATGCTCATTACATGGAGATTTTGTCTTTATTGGTATTTAATATGCATTGATATTTAAATATTATGATTTATTGTAATTTTAGTGTTTATTTTGTGTACAGTATATTTACTTTTTATATATATTTACAGTAAATGTGTTTCAATTACAAATATTTGAGTTTTAAAGTAGTACATACTATATGAATTTGCTCAGCAGCCTCTGAGCAATTAGAACATTTCCTTTGGATTTCTTAATATTATGTTACTTGTACTCCTCAGTGCACAAATTATCCGAGTGTTTCTATGTGCTACAATGTGGCATGAAACCTATGATGAAATGATGAAGATAATCATCTCTATGTTCAGGTAAAAATACATAGACTAAACTTACTCAACCAATCCAAATATAATTTTAAATGCAATACTTGTTGTTTTGCTTCCAGACTTGATGCATATAGGCCCAAAACTGGAAAACACAGCGATATTGAGTTTGAATTTCATGTTTATTTCGACGACGCTTTCAAGGATGACGGTAATCAAAGGGAGCGCCTTGCAAATGAATACGTTGAAATTCTTGTGGAAGTTATTAAAGAAGTTTACATGTAAGAATCATGCTTTGTTGTACGTGTTCTTAAAAGATATGCTACTGTTACATAAATAAATCTACTTATATTTTTAATTGATTAGCATTTTTAGTGAGGAGGATCCATGTGTCTTCAAGAAGATGCAACCATTACCAACCCAGAAGATCATAAGCACTCCTTATGGAGGTCGGCTGGAATACACACTTCCAAAAGGCAATGTCATGATGGTTCACCTCAAAGACAAGCAACTTATCCGTCACAAAAAAAGATGGTCTCAGGTAATATTAAACACCGGTGGCTGATCTGTGAAATTTAGCATGTGGAAATTTAGCAATTTTAAGCTTTTTCTTTCATTCATGCATACTGTAAAGGTGTAATTTTGAATGTTTTTGTTAAAATATGTTCTACGGTGTTGAACATATTTTATAAACAACAATTAATACATGAAAATTATCACAAATTTTCCCTTTAAAGATCAGTTACAGGCATTGGGTACCAAGAATTTACATTTACATTTAGTCATTTAGCAGACGCTTTTATCCAAAGCTACTTACAAATGAGGACAAGGAAGCAATTTACACAACTAAGAGCAACAATGAATAAGTGCTATAGGCAAGTTTCAGGTCTGTAAAGTCTAAGAAGGGAAGTATTAGTAGTATTAGTTTTTTTTTTTTTTTGGGTACAGTTAGTGTGATATTCAGAGAGGCAATTGCAGATTAGGAAGTGAAGTGGAGACTAAATAGTTGAGTTTTTAGTCGTTTCTTGAAAATAGCGAGTGACTCTGCTGTTCGGATCCAGTTAGGGAGTTCATTCCACCAACTGGGCAGATTGAGCGTGAGCGTTCGCGAAAGTGATTTCTTCCCTCTTTGGGATGGAACCACGAGGCGACGTTCATTCACAGAACGCAAGTTTCTGGAGGGCACATAGATCTGCAGAAGTGAGAGCAGATAAGAAGGAGCAAGGCCAGAAGTCACTTTGTAGTCAAACATCAGAGCTTTGAATTTGATGCGAGCAGCAACTGGCAGCCAGTGCAAACGGACTAGCAGCGGAGTGACATGTGCTTGTTTAGGTTCATTGAAGACCACTCGTGCTGCTGCGTTCTGGAGCAGTTGAAGAGGCTTGACAGAGTTAGCTGGAAGCCCAGCTAGTAGAGAGTTGCAGTAATCCAGTTTGGAGAGAACAAGAGCTTGACCAAGGAGTTGAGCTGCATGTTCAGATAAGAAGGGTCGGATCTTTCTGATGTTATACAGTGCGAATCTGCACGATCGAGCAGTTCTAGAAATGTGGTCAGAGAAGTTTAGTTGGTCATCAATCGTTACTCCAAGGCTTTTCACCATTTTGGATGCAGTAATGGTTGCCCTATCCATCTGGATTGAAAAGTTATGGTGTAGAGTCGGGTTGGAAGAAACTACAAGCATTTCCGTTTTTGCGAGGTTCAGCTGAAGATAATGATCTTTCGTCCAGTGTGAAATATCCAACAGGCAGGCTGAGATGCGAGCTGGAACCGAGAGATCATCAGGATGAAAAGAGAGGTATAGCTGGGTATCATCAGCATAGCAGTGGTAGGAGAATCCATGTCTCTGGATGACTGGTCCTAGAGATGATGTGTAGATGGAGAAGAGAAGTGGCCCAAGAACAGAGCCTTGAGGTACCCCAGTGTTTAGATGCTGTAGGTTGGACACCTCTCCCCTCCAAGACACCCTGAATGACCTGTCAGTGAGGTAAGATCTGAACCATTGTATAACAGTGCCCGCAACGCCCAGTGACTCGAGCGTAGATAGCAGGATCTGGTGGTTGACAGTGTCAAAAGCAGCTGACAAGTCCAGCAAAATGAGGACTGATGATTTAGAGTCTGCTTTAGCCAGTCTGAGATCCTCCACGACTGAGAGCAGGGCAGTCTCAGTTGAGTGGCCTTTCTTAAAGCCGGATTGCTTGTTGTCCATGAGATTGTTTTGAGTAAGAAAGTCCAGGACTTGATTGAACACTACTTTCTCCAGAATCTTGGCCATGAATGGAAGCAGGGATACTGGTCTGTAGTTTTCAAGTTGATTTCACCAATCATTTATGTTTCCAGATAATGTACTTGTATTACATTCTTGGCTGGAGACTTAACAAACAGTACTATGAGAAATTTGAGGCAGGTGAAGAACCGGATTTGCTTAAAGAGAAACTAAAGGTTAGAAGGATATCTTTACTGGTAGTAAGTTCTAACATATCAACCAGGCTCTGAATCACTAACTGTGTATCACATGCTCCTTAGAGAGAAAGAGAGAACACATATATCCTGGCTCTGGATGGGGATACAGATTTCCAGCCTTCTGCAGTCATGCTGTTAATTGACAGACTTAAACTCTACCCAGAGGTCGGAGCCGCCTGCGGCAGGATTCATCCAACAGGCACAGGTTGGATGTTTATTTTGGATAGACTGTGTCTAAAAGTCGTACACATGCCACTGTCCAGTATAATTTAGCTCCATCTTGCCTTAACACATCTGTCTGGCTGGTTAGGAAGTTTTAATTTGGGTTGGAACTACAATATGTGGGAAAATGGCTGTCCAGGAGCAGAATTGGACAATAGTATCTGGATGCAACTTCGATGATGCAAGCTGAGACTGCAGATGCAGTGATGCAATGTCAGTCACAATGCACTCAATGGAGCTAGTGACATCACTGCGAGGGCTAGGGTTTGGCATGGGGTTAGGTGAGTGCATTAAAAAAACATTGGATGCAGCTCAGTTTAAACTGCACTAGGTCTGCATCCAGACTCCTCTCCATTTGGATGCTCTTGGCATAGAACATTATTATAGAGCAGGAGAGGACATTTCTGGTCCTGGAGGGCTGCTGTCCTGCAAAGTTTACCTCCATGCCTAAGACCTTCCCCAATGTAATCAATTTTGTAATCATAGAGCTGACACTAAAGGACCAGCGTATCGACCCATGTTATAGGAACTATCTAAATGTGCTCAGGTGTGAGCTAAGCTGTGCTTCTTTTACTGTCAAAGCATTTAAAAATGCAAAGTGCTCAACACTGAGCATAAAATGTATGCGCAGCACCTGGCTACTCTGCCGGTATTCCACTGATAACAGAAATGTTTCTGAAGAGCAAAAAACTTTTTGCCCAAAAAATGTTCATGATCCATGTTCATGAGATCCACTCGTCTAGATACAAATCAAACAACCAACCTAAAATATCTGACTGAAAACGTATTATGTGTTAGACAGGTCATAATCATACACATACTAATAAGATCTTCTGTTTGCTTGAAGGACCAATGGTGTGGTATCAGAAGTTTGAATACGCTGTAGGCCACTGGCTGCAAAAGACTGCGGAGCATGTATTCGGTTGTGTGCTCTGCAGTCCTGGATGTTTTAGTCTTTTCAGAGGAGCTGCACTTGTGGAAGACAACGTCATGAAGAGATACACAACCAAAGCCAGTGAAGCCAGCCATTATGTCCAATATGATCAAGGTAATGTCTTTACAAATAATATCAGTTCAGGCTAGACAAGGAGTGGGCAATTCTGGTTCTGTAAGGACGCTGTCCTGTGTTGGCTAATCAAATGCCTGAAAATAAAACCTCTCTTCAGGATTTCTTACAGACATGGGTGTTCAGTTATAGAGGGAGCTAAACTCTTAAGGATAGTAAGCCTTCAAAATCAGGAGTTGCTCAACCCTGACCTAGACTAAACTAATTCCTTTGGTGTAATGTCAGGTGAGGACCGCTGGTTGTGCACTCTGCTGCTGCAGCAGGGTTGGAGAGTGGAGTACAATGCAGCATCTGATGCCTACACCAATGCTCCACAGGATTTTAAAGAGTTCTACAACCAACGCAGGCGCTGGGGACCTTCTACCATGGCCAACACTATTGACCTCCTAGGATCAGGACAACTGACATCTCAGAGGAACAGCTCTATTTCAAAACTTTATATATTGTACCAGATTATCAGCATGGCAGCTTCCATCTTGGGTCCTGCTACTATCTGCCTCATGATATCAGGTAGTCAGATTAATGTTTGTCAATAAATTGAATTCATTGTGCCATTTTAACGTACTTCCCGGTTCCAAGTGGGATTCAAAGAGGCAAGCATGCTAACAAGGATGCTAAATAAAAAACAGGCTCCATCTGCATGATGCATGAAGATGAAGGTGTTTAGGAGCCAATATTAACTCCCCCAGAAAGTTTTCTTTATTGAGCTGTTTTGAATTGCCTGTGGGCGAGGCAGTGGCGCAGTAGGTAGTGCTGTCGCCCCACAGCAAGAATGTCACTGGGCTGCTGGTTCGAACCTCAGCTCAGATGGCGTTTCTGTGTGGAGTTTGCATGTTCTCCCTGCCTTCGCATGGGTTTCCTCTGGGTGCTCCGGTTTCCCCCACAATCCAAAGACATGCGATACAGGTGAATTGGGTAGGCTAAATTGTCCATAGTGTATGAGTGTGTGTGTGGATGTTTCCCAGAGATGGGTTGCGGCTGGAAGGGCATCTGCTGCGTAAAAACTTGCTGGATAAGTTGGCAGTTCATTCCACTGTGGTGACCCCGGATTAATAAAGGGACTAAGCTGACAAGAAAATGAATGAATGATTGAATTGCCTGTTTTGAATTGGCCAGATTTTGTTCGAAATAATGTAATTTCAGTTTGTGGTTCAATTTTGTTTAACGTATACCAGGGCCTTTACCACTGATGAGTTGCAGGCATGCCAAACAGTCTAACTTGAGTAGAACTGGAGTGTAGGAATTTCAATGGTGCTGTGACCCAGCATTTAGCCTAACAGGGTTGCATCGTCTAGCATTAGCCTCTTTTTCACCTCTTACCACAAACAAGAATGTTAAAAATCATAACCTCAAGCATTAATTGCTAGTGTGTGAGTCAGGGAGTGAGATATATGTTTACATCTCTTACTACTTAGCCTCTGTTACATTAGCAATAAGGCACACACTGTTTCTATTGTCACATCTGTCTAAATGTTTTTGCTTGTTGTGCAGGAAGCTTTGTGTTCATATTCAATATGAATGAAAATACTGCCCTTGCTTTGGCGATAGTGCCCCCTACGGTCTACCTTATCCTGTGCTTCAAACTGAAATCTGATACACAGATTAGAATTGCAGCAATCATGAGCATTATCTATGCATTTCTCATGGCTGGAACAATTCTCTCTATCATCGGTAAGGACTTTTAAATGCTATTTGAAAAATGTAAAGACCTCATGATATAGTTTGATGAAGGGTTTTATTGACATGCTAGCCTTCAAAATATGTAAGGTGAATACACTCTTAAAACAATTAATGCTTTTACTTTTGCAAGAATGAATTAAACTGTTCAAAACTGGCAGTGAACAATCTTGAAAAATATTTGCATGGTAGTGTCCACTTTATTCTAAAAACATTTTTGGCATGAAAAAGGAACTACTGTCCAGCTGTACATGGGCAAACTGAAACTATGATAAACCAACTAGATTGTGCAACTAGCTAATGGTTTGCAGTGGGTTAGCGTCTATGCAGTGATATCCCATACACAGCATGACCCTAAGTCTCAGGTAGAACTGTCTTCTTGTCTTTTATTTTCAGACACAAAACAACATGGCTAAATGTACCACAGGGCCCTGTTGTTTCTTCACAACAGGTGAAGTGTGGGTTTCCTCCGGATGCTCCGGTTTCCCCCACAGTCCAAAGACGTGCTATAGGTTAATTGAATTAACTAAATTGGCTGTAGTGTATGTGTGTGAAAGAGTGTGTGTGGGTGTTTCCCAATGTTGGGTTGCAGCTGGAAGGGTATCTGCTGCATAAAACATAAGTTGGCAGTTCATTCTGCTGTGGTGACCCCTGATTAATACAGGGACTATGCTGAAAATGAATGAATGAATGGTCTTGGGTCTGTCACTATCTGTTTCGCTGCTGGAGGTGAGTAGGGATGAGCCATCCTGCCATCCACTAGTCTCTCGTCCTAGGGCCAGCATGTGAAACAGTGCAATGCAGTTTTATCAAGCACCACATGCTTGCCCCATCCAAGCATTTAGCTTCCTAAGACCACCTCTAAAATTTATGGAGGATGTGATGAGTCAGTTTGGGTGAAATCGTCATATGTTTCTGTTAGATTCCAGAATCTTCCAGAACCTCCCTCCCCAGCTGGTGGTCTGTGTTAAAGGCTCCTTTAACTGCCTGAAATAGTCTAGCACTGGATCAAATGGCCAACCCAAACACCAAGTCCACTAGCATTAAAATTTCAGTACAATCAAAATCTCAGCATCGACTAAAAGCAAACAAATTTCCTGAGGTCTCTAATATTAATGAATAGAATTACTGTACCTAAACAACCAATGACAAATACACCTCTATCTAAAGCACTTTTCTCTTCATCTTAACTCTTACAGGTGATTTAGTGAAGCAAAATACTTTTCTGACCCCTAGTGGTCTGTTTCTTATTGGCATGGTCATGCTGTATGTCATCACAGCAGCTTTGCACCCTCAGGAGTTCTCACTGGTTGTCTATGGTTTGCTATACTTCATCTGCATTCCCAGTGGCTATCTGCTCTTAGCCATTTACTCTATTGTCAACATGAACAATGTCTCATGGGGGACTCGTGAGTCCGGCAGCCAGACGAAGACTTCTGCAGTGAACAGTCTCAAGAAGAAGTTCATGAATGCCACATGCTGCAAATGCCCATGCTTGGAATATGAAGATGAAACTAGCAAGGAGATATTACCAGCAGAAACCATAACAAAAACTGAAACGTCACAAATTACCTTGGATATACAAAGGTTAGAACATGTCTACTTTGTTTTACCATGTAGGATTAAACAAAATAATCTACAAATGAGTTACCCTAAGAATACTGCTACTAATACTACTAATAATACTGTGTTCTTACAATGTAGTGCAAATGTCTTCCCAATCAGTCCTTACAGTAAGTATGACTTTCACATGTAATATTGTTAATACTGTGATATTCCCACCAACATACTTGAATGAAATCATCAATAATCCTGTTATAGGTTTAGATCGAAAACCTTGGATTCAACGTTTGCAGCCAAAATTTGGTTTTTGGTTGAAGAGTAAATCCGAATGCAAACTTTCTACAGTAAGACACATTTTTTATTATTCATTTATTCATTTTCCTTTGGCTTAGTCTCTTTATTCATCAGCAGAATGAACCGCCAATTTATTCAGCATATGTTTTACACAGCAGATAGCCTTCCAGCTCCAACCCAGTACTGGCAAACATCCATACACACTCATTCATACACTTAGGCCAATTAAGTTTATTCAATTCACCTATAGCATATGTCTTTAGACTGTGGGGAAAACCGGTGCACCTGGAGGAAACCCACTCGAAAAACAGCTACAACATGCAAACTCCACACAGAAATGTCAACTGACCCAGTCGGGAGTCAAACCATTCACTGAGCAGTGGAACACAATGTAAAACATGTTTGCAAAACATTATTGCTTATTTAATGCTTCATTCATTCATTCATTTTCTTTTTGGCTGAGTTCCTTTATTAATCTGGGGTCGCCAGAGCGGAATTAACCACCAACTTATCCAGCATAAGTTTTACGCAGTGGATGCCCTTTCAGCCGCAACCCATCACTGGGAAATTATGTTTCATACATTCAAGAACTGTTGAAAAATTGTTTTGTTTTCCTAATTATTAGACGACAGTTATTTATTTTAAAAAATCAAGTTTTCTTTAAGTAAAATAATGGTTCTGCCTGCTTCATTTTTCCCCCTGCATGTATTTAATGAAAAAATTGTATACAAATGGAGTAAAATTGAAAATTGAGGATGCAGAGAATTCATCAGATTCATCAATGCATCGTGTTGTTCAGTTGAACTGAATCCATAAAACATGACTCCTTGCGATGCACAACATGCAAGTCAGTGACTACCAGGGGCCTGTTTCAGAAAGGAGGTTAACTGAAAACTCAGAGTATTTTAACCCTGAAATGAGAGAAACTCTGGGTTTTCCGTTTCAAAATGGCAGGTTTGTTAAACTCGAGAAATCAGGGTAAGTCAAGCCTGTTTCTGAAAGAGAGTTAACTTTAACTCAGAGTCAGTTACTGTGGTAACTTACTCTGTGAATCTAACCTGGTCAGAAGCAGGTTTTATTCTCTAAACTCAGAGTTTCTGTCGGTCTCCTCCCCTTTTTTTAAAGATGAAGCGGTATTTCACGCCTTAGCCTTACGTTTCCACACACCTATTTTAATGCTCATTTTGGATACGTGCATAAAAACGATTGATAGAAACGTCATGATGCACATAACTTTTTAAAATATGCATAAAAAACGCACATAACTGAGTAGGATAAACTTTTATTCGATAGAAAATGTGCGCATAAATTACGATGGAAACACTTTTACTGAACAAATTACAGTATGTACATTAAAAAAAAGATCATGATCATATGATAATGAAAATGTGTGTAAATGGAGGCTGAGAACACTGTAACACGTCTTAAATATTGTTTTAGTCATTCTAAAATGCCTTTACAGTTTCAGTATTAGTGTATATTATTAATTACCTCCGAACGTCTGGTGCGTGTCAAGAGTCTCCGCGTCTCATGGCTTCAGACGCCCCCACGTGTTCATTGTGTTTCAGCATTGTCTTCTGACATCGAGGCGCAAGTACATTATTTAGGCTAAATAAAGAATTAATTGACGCAGCTTCTTCTACCACAGTAAATTCTGTTTTTACTGTTGATATTTGGTGCCAGTTAAATCAGGAAGTGACAATTTTTTTCTCTTTGACTCGTTGGATGGAATTTTATTCGCAGCTTTTATGCAATATTGCAGTTTTGCACATAAATTTATGTAATATATTTGGATGGAAACATAGCTATTGCCTACATTTTAGTCACACACAGAAGAACTGTACTAGAATGGCTTATGCTTTTTTAATAAATAATTAAATTGAATTCACCTTCGATATGCACTGTAACTAGATTAATGGGATTATTATTCTTTCTAAAAATTATTTTTAGTACTGCTTACCTTCTAAATGTTATATTAACCTCTCTCACTTGATCAATAAAAAAGGCAGACACACAAGTGCACTGTTAAATCATTTAAAACTAATAAATGTATAAAAGAAAGTTTAGAAAAAAAAATATATAAACGTCACAAATTATTATACTTAAATATTTAAATACTTAAAAAGTTAAATTAGGCATTATCTTGAGCAGCTGTTTTCCCACGCTAACTGGTTGATGGCTGCTTCTTTTCAAATATATACGCTCATATTTGCTAGAACTTTGCATGAGAACATCAAGTTCAGCTGGAGAAAGAAATGGTGATCTCTTTTATAAGATATTGTCATAGTCACTCGTAATGTCTGCGCTCCACTGATAATGCCTTTTTATAGTCACGGTGCGCGCGCTTAACTCTGAGTTGGTCTACTCGAAGTTGATTGACCCAACTCAGATCAGCTGTTCTGAAACCGAAAACTCTGAGTTTTTAATCTCTCGGTAAATCAACTCAGAGTTCAAGTTTAAACTCTGAGTTGTTTGAACCTCCTTACTGAAACAGGCCCCAGGACTTTGAGAGTAAAAAAAAACACAAGCAATTCAAAATGAACATCTCCTTATGATACTGAGTAGATACTGAATACGAAGTGGAATGATCAGTCTGTGCAAGAAGTAACACATTCTTTGCAATATTATTATACATTAATAATTTAATAAATACAGTTATTTAATAGTTGGTAAGTAATATTTTTACTGCTATGTTTTGATTATATGTTCTTTGTCTTACAGGATGAAGTCAGTTTTTGGATGGAAATGCAAAACAAATATCTGGAACCTCTTATGGAAAATAAAGAACAACAAGAAAAAATAGCTAATGATCTGAGAGAACTTCGAAATAAGGCTAGCCTGATAAATTCACCAGTTGCCAAAAATGGTTTAGACTACTGTTTGCTCTGAAATGGTAAAGATTTGCCCTCATCATTTTGTCTTTTTAAATACAGGTTACATTTGTCTTTTTCTTCTGCAATGCACTTTGGCTAGCGGCAACTTTCTTTCTTCAAACAATTGGTGATGCGGTCTCTATAAAGATCCCAAAAATCTACCCCAATGGGACTCATTCTTCAACAGAAACGTTGTCTCTTGATCCGATTGCGCTGATGTTTCTACTCAGTTTTGCAGTACTGCTGATAATGCAGTTTCTTGGAATGCTTTATCACAGGTAACTTGCAGACAATGATTACAGTTTAGCAATCACTGATAAAGAATATTTTTGGGGGGTATATTAAAATGTAATTTCGTTTAGGTATTTCCTTAAACCAAGTGAAGATAATATTATGAGCGTAAGGGATAAATATACATAACTGATAAGTTTCTGTTTTGTTATATAAGTATTGGTGCATTATGTCCTTTTATTTCAGAATTTACACATTAATCCATTATGTGGCTTATGCTGATACAGAAATTAAAGCCCATAGAAAGCAGTCAGAACAGGTATAAGCCAACGGACAGCCATTCTATTTGATAGTTCTTTATTATAGTGGTTTCTTCTTTTAATTTACTTTGTTCACATTTTAATAGGTTGCACAGATCGTGGACTCAAACTACCATCAAGAGACTATAGAGGATGATGGAACATTATGGTTTCAGAACCCCTCTACCATAGGACACATAACTGCTGTATAGAAGTTTGGATTTAACTCTCAAAGTCAGTCACTAATGCTGTATAAAATAAATATTTATTTAAATCTGAATGTATTGTATGTTGTAGCGTAAACTATTATGTTGGTCAATTATTTATGTATAAACTGAATTCTTAAAATAAAATATAGTGTAACTGTTAAAGAATTGGATGTATTCTATAAGATTTGGCATATATTTTTCCTTTTTTTTTAATAAGAATTGGCATATATTTTTCCACTTTATTACTATCATTTCATATATTTCCATGTTTCTTTTTTAAAAAATTGTTAACAATAAATTGAAAGTTTTATGAACATATATTAAATCTTTCATTATAAATCTGTTCTTTTGAACATACTGTATTTACTGTATAGTGTATTGAAATACAATAAACCTATCTATTTTGTTTTGAAAGTTTCCTATTCATTTAATAAGGCAAAATTCATTATAAAATAATTATTTATAAGGAACATTTATTTGTAAAATAACACACACACACACACATACACACACTTGTAGTAAGTACTTAGCTATATTTTATTCATAGAAGATAGATATTTGTTGTAACCAATTTGTAATAAGATTTTGAGGTTTTCAAAGTAACTCATTATTTTATTGTACTTGAAATACAAAAAAGTATCTTAATTTTTTAAAAGAAAGAATTTCTTAACCCTAAAGAACCCTTTAATATCCTTAATTAGGCATGTAATGAACTTACAGTACACTTACTAAGCATACTTGAAAGATTTAGCAACTTAAATTCAGCAATTTAGCAAAGCACACTAAATACACTAAAAGTTGTGCTACTGAAACTGTAAAAAAGCAACAACAGAACAACCCATTTCAACTTCCCTACAATAATCATTAACATATTTGAAGTACACCCCCAATACTGGAATATTGAAACAAAATAAGGTCATTGACATATTGACATCCATTTTTTATCGATATGTCACTGCAATTTATTTTCAGTTTGGACAGCTCAACATCGAACTAGTCTAGCCTTGATCCTTATCTCTGAAATCAGGGGTGTGTAAAACTATGTTAAAGTATGAATAGGCCACTTACTCAAAAGAGTCAAAATAACTACCTAAAAGATATAATTATACTACACTTAAGTATAGGCCAAAATATACTTCTGATTTCTTTCACTATGAGTCAAGTATGATTGTGCAATTTTAAGTATATTTATGAGAAAAACCTAAAACCTGCATTTGATAGAATAAGTTTTTCTTTATTTATAAGGAATTTAGGCTTACATGCAAATGTGGTAAACCTTGCTGGTATGCATATTGAGACAAAAGAAGGTCATTGACATTTTGACATTTAGTTGTTTTAAAAGACATGTCACTGCTTTTTTTTCTGTTTGGACAGCTTAAACATGCAATTCAGTCTAGGACTAGCCTTGATTCTTATCTCTGACATCAGGGGAGTGTGTACAAATATGTGAAGAAATGAATAGGTCACTCAATCAAAAGAGTCAAAACAACTACTTAGAATAATTACTTTTAAGTAGAGTCTAAAAAGAATTTCTATCAGTATAAGTCACGTATACTTAAGTGTAACATTTATTCATTCATTTACTTTCTTTTCAGCTTAGTCCCTTTATAAATCTGGGGTTGCCAGCTGCAACCCATCACTGGGAAACACCCATACACTTGCATTCACACCCATACACTACGGACAGTTTTAGCTTACCCAATTCACTTATAATGGATATCTTTTTAAATTTTGGGGTGAAACTCGGAGCACCTGGAGGAAACCCATGTGAACACCAGGAAAACATGCAAACTTCACACAGAAACGCCAACTGACCCAGCCGAGGCTCGAACCAGTGATTTTTCTGCTGTCAGGCAAGAGTGCTACCCACTGCACCACAGTGCTGCCCTAAGCGTAATATATATATATATATATATATATATATATATATATATATATATATATATATATATATATATACATACAGTATATATATATATATATATATATATATACAGTATATATATATATATATATATATATATATATATTTTTTTTTTTTTTTTTTTTTTTTTTTTTTTTTTTTAAGCCATTTCACCTTTAATTGACAGGACAGTACAGCGTATAGGCAGGAAAGCAGAGAGAGAGGAAAGATTGGCATAGGACCTATAGGTCGCTGTGAACACCCGAGTGCCCAACACAATCTCACGGCAATTCGTAACTTTTTCATTTAGTGGCTAATTCGTACAAATTTGTACGATCTAATTCGTACATTTTACTACGATTTGCGGATCCCCCAATGACGGTTGGGTTTAGGGGTGGGGTTAGGTGCCACGCCTCCTTTTTAAAATCGTACATTTTCTTACAACTGAACTCGTACGAATTCGTACGAATTAGCCACTAAACTGCCAAAACGTAAAATATTTACGTTTTCTCGTGAGATCAGGCTGGAGTGCCATGTGTCAACGCACCAACCACTACGCCATTGATGCCGACTGCTAATTCTTAATTTTAAGTATATTTCTGAGCAATACCTAAAGTATACTTTTGAAAGTGAATGTTCTTGACCTAATTTTAGATTTATGCACTCATTTGTACTTGTTAAACTATTAGTTAGAACCCTAATTAGGTAATTAGTGGTTAGTCCTCTATAATTATTCGCCTTGGCAGGGTCTCTAGATGTAAATGCATTTGCTCACATTCATGCACAACATCAGAAACTAACTCCAATATTTGAAACAGAAATGACAATTAAAAATTTTAGAATATCACAGCATACCAGTTTTTTTTTATTATTTGTCATTAAAAACAATGAAATTTCTGGAATAGTCTTCGTCATTTAGACGTGATATATGTCATGTCAATTTACTCACCTTCCTGACATTTTAAACACACTGGTTTCTAATGACTCAGTAATATCAGCCTACTGTCATGCAAACCCATATATCACATTTGACGTATTTTGATCTGTATATTTACTAAGTTGGCAAGTTAAAAAGACCTTTAAGACTTACCCACAGCTGGGTAAGTAACTGCACATCAAGACAAATATCTAATCACCAATATCCGTGAGAAATGAATTAATTTAGGCATAAAAGCTAGTTATAGGTGTTTGTCTGTAACAAACACTCAGGAAATCTCCAGGAACAGGAACACAAGAGCAAAGAATGTGGAATAATGTTCAAGACCAGACAGAAAACATGAGGAAAACATAAATACACTAAGACTTACAACGGGTTTCCACTAAAACGTCAAATCTGTACTCGGTGCTACCACCGCCTCAGGTCCGGGGCTTGTCAAATTTAGGGCAGAGCACACCTGTTCTTACATTGTGCTGCTTGTAAACAGCACGGAAGACATCGCGCATACACAGTACCCTGTTTAATGGCTGCTTAAAAAAAAATCAATGAATAAACACACAGTCATAACATTCTAATACACTCTCATGGTAGCCTTTATGTAAGTAATTTCAGCACAGTAATTAAGTTTATAGCATCATTTCTGATACTCTTGGCTGATCTCAACACCTTCTCTGTGCTGCTTTCAATCCAGTAATACACTGTGTGAGCATTAATACTGAACTTCCAAATGAATTAATTTAAAAAAGATGCTTGTAAGGTCACAGTGGAAACCCGCTGTAATGACAAACACAGGTACATGTGATAGAGGGAGCTAAGGCAAGTAACAAAACAAAGAAACCAAAAGACAAAAACACCTGAATTTAATCAACACAGAGGAGTGATTTATCACCATCTAAAGGGCATTTTGGTAAAAAAAAAAATTATGGCCGTCATATTGAAGAGTCATTCCAAACTAAAGTGCTCAATACCGACCACTTCAAAGGGCCCTTTGGAATGAAGGATTTTGAAAAATACAGCTGATGACTTATGGACACTTCAGGCCTTTGTCGTTTGAGCAGGTAAATTGTTTAGTGTCACGCACTGCACTCAATTTGGAAGGCTCATCCCTTTGCTCTTATAGGACCCTCTAAAGGGATGAGCATAGGGATGAGCCCTTGCGAATGGAACCCAGATACAGTCCTTGGGCCTTAACATACACCCCACACAATAAGGCACAAGATGTCTTTGGTGCGATTTATTGCTATTTTCAGACCAGGGCTACCCAAATTTTCATGTTTTGCAACACGTTGTTTAAATAGTAAATCCATTTGCGTCACTTTGTGGACTCATAGGCCCACACGGAATCTGTGCACGCAGAAATTTGCAGATTTTTAGCCCATGATTGAGTCGATGTATTTACTTGTGTAAATGTGTGTAAAGATATATTTATTAAGGTTTTAAATTGATTTCACTAATATTATTGTGATATAACAATAGTAATATTAAAATGTTCATATGATGTATTTACTATACAGTTTGTAACGTAATATAGTAATAAACTATTTTAGTAGATATATTATATGAGAAACTTGCTTTGTTTACCAATAAGTAGATCTAATTGAATTTGCATTGTAAACATTAAATAAATGTTAAGAATGTCCTTGATTAAAATGTTACGAAAATATTTTTTTTCTATATAAATATAAAAACCACTCCCTCTATGCCATCTTGATGTGGAGTTTTATATTTCAATATTTATATTTGTTTTTATTAAAACAAGTTTAGATTTGTCCACCTGTTGGGTTTTGGAGATGTATGCATCACCATATGTGGCATAAGAATAGAACGTGCGTTTTTTTTTTACTGTTTTTGTTCATTTATTTGTTTGCTGGAAATTAAAACTGAATTTAAAAAATAGTTTTGAAACAAATCTTTGCACTTAAACGAAATTAAATTTATAGACTAATGAATGTCTGAAGTGGAGTGCGTACAACACCGTCTCATTCCACTGGAGTAAAGGAGTAAAGCAAGGAGTAAAAGTAAAGTAAAGAGAAAGTAAAGAGGCAGATTTAAATAGGTATTGGATTAAAACATGCGGTGGTAGAGGGAAGCTGAAATGAAGAATAGGGGCAGGACATGACTATTTATAGGGGTTTGGTCTTATGCTGATTGAATAACAAAATAATTATCGATGCAGAATTGTCAAAACATAAGCTCATGCCCTTTCTGAAATATGTTTATAAAATATCACATACAAAATTAATTGAGACAGAATGCAGTCAAATTAAATAGCAAAATAAGTTTCCCGTGTCTGGACCAGGGATGTCCAAACTTGGTCTTGGAGGGCCGGTGTCCTGCAGATTTTAGCTCTAACTTGCCTCAACACACATGCAAAGATGTTTCTGGAAAGCCTGGTAAGAGCTTGATTAGCTAGATTGGGGGTGGAACTGAACTTTGCAGTAAACGGAGTCTGGCCTGGTCTGGATTATCTCACAGGTTATGGTTTTAGAATGTTTTTATGAATGTTTACTTTGAAGATGTTTCGGCATGGAAATAAAATGAATATTAATGAGTAATATATTATTATTAATATTATTACTAACAATAATAGCAAAAAATATGTAAATATAAAATAAAATAATAAATAATCTGTTTTTATTCCAGCCTTGCCATCAAGTGGTTCTAAACCTTCATGGGTTACTTTATTTTATTGAACACAATAGAACATATTTAGGAGAGCTGAAACCCTGTAACCATTGACTTCTATTATAGGAAAAAATACAATGGAAGTCAAAAGGTTTTCAGCCTTTTTCAAAGTATCATCTTTTGTGTTCAACAGAGTACAACAGAGTTCAAGAGACCCCAACAGACTTGTGGCAAATGAAGTGATGACAAAAATGTCAATTTTGGGTGAACTATACCTTTAGGTCATGGGTGTTAAACTGTTGGGTGTTCCTGGAGGGTCACAGTCCTGCATAGTTTAGCTTTAACCCTAATTTAACACGCCTGATCAAACAGTCCTTCAGGCTTCTTTGAAATCTAGTGGTGAGTGTATTGATCCACGCTGTGGGCCTCCAGGAGTTTGACACCCCTGCTTTAAGGGTTTTAGACGTAACATTTGCAGGACTAGCATACTTCTTTCATGCGTAAAAACAATGGCCGTTTCTTAATTCCAAGAACGCAGAGAATGGACTTGCGCACTTCTGGAGACCGGTCTTGCCAGGTGTCCTCGGAAGAACGAACTCAGGAGACTGCGAGGGCAGAGAATGAGTCCTTTGAGAAATGAGATGCTGCGTTCTTTCTGATGGTCACGTGACCTTCACACGTTTTAAATGGTAAATTATTTAAACATTAAAGCATTCATAGAATGATTTATTGTTTTTCCCCTTTTCAAAATTTATACTCTACATAAAAACATTACCAATATACTCTGCACAATATAAATAAAACTGATTTTAATACAAATTTCAGCAAACAAACACCCTTAATGTGTTTATTCATTTATTAAGATGTCCATGAAAATGTTTAGTTTCATTTAGGGAAACCCCTGAGGTAAATAATTTATATCTCTGAACTTTAATAATAAATCCAAATAAATTGCTGCACTTCCCACCTTCAGTCGCAATGACTTCTGGCAATTCCAGAGCGAGGTTGGTGCTCAAGTCTGCATTGTTTCATCCTCGATATCAAGAACACATCTGGGAAGTTTTACGCATCCTCCGTACTTGCGGACTTGAGTATTGGAATTGATCTTAGGTAGCTGATGATGACGTTGCACAAGAACACGAGGACGTAAGACTGCTGAAGAACGCATATTGAGAAACAGCCAATATGTTGCCCTATTTCTTTCCATCATGGAGGTTCAAACACATGAACTCAGTAAATTTGTTATTCTGGTTGAACAAGTGATAAACTAAAAGAGTGATTCTAAAGTAATCTTTAGGGACTTTTATAAACAAAATAACATAATTCCTTTAATTGATTCTTCTCTACAGAAAATTTACTTAGGGATCGGACAAGCCTAATACTTATCAGAACACAATGTATAGTTGTTGCACACTGGATTATTAAGTACTAAATAGTCAACATTTGCATGTACTTAGGTCCTGTCCTTGATCAGCCAGACATGCATAAGCAGCCAAAACACAGACAGCACCACCTCGAAGAGGCATATTATGTGTATAGCTGTATCTTCTGTTAAATTGGGCTCAATCCCATTTCTATTTTTTTACCCCAAACCCTTACCCTTGAACCAGTGTGAAGGGGAGGGGCTTCAAATTTTACCCCTAAGAAATGGAACAGCACTACAACACCTGCACATGTCATCATATGTGATCACAATTCATTACTTCATATGAGAATGATGACATCGACTGCTGTATTTATTCCAGTATTCCAGTATTCCAGCATTATTTTTTTTTTTATTTATCTACAGGAAATCACTGAAGGCACTGATATCATGTCATCATAATGATATAATGTGGCAATAAGTCTGTTGGGTGTACTGTGTACACTAATAAACTGTACTGTGTATTTACACTGTGACCATATTCTAAACACATGAAAATATTATACATATTATATGTACATATTGTACATATCAAATGAATTAAAAGGATAGTCCCCCAAAACTGTCAATTCTGTCATTGTTTACTACCCTTTACTTGTTTCAGAACTGTTTGACTTCATTTCTTCTGCTGAACACAAAATAAAATATTTGAAGACATCATGAAATCTGAAAATATTCTTAATTAAAGAAACATAGATGATTGGTCTATGCCTATGTTTTCTTCCAAAATCCCATTTGTGGCACAGCAAAGTGTTGTGAATCTTCTCTTAAACTGAAACAAGATTTACTGCTCTTCACTTAAAGTACCACTGGGATATAGGACTGGTAAATTTTAAGTGGAGCTTTGAGTCAAGAATTGTTTTTACTCTTAAGTCAATTCTTAGCACTGTTCATATAAGTGTTGTTTATAACTGTTCGTATAAGTGTTGTGTAGTTTACAAGGGCTTGTTGTCAAGACATTTTTTCACTTGAATCATACTAAACACTTGGAAACCCTAAACCATGGAGAGTGTTCTCCTTAAAATCCAGTTTCCTTTTTAATTGTTTATCTTACGTATTTACAATTTATATACTGTTTCCACTTGCTCATTGGACTTCAATTTGGTAGAAATCTGTTATATTACAGACCCTATATTTTCAACAGTTAGATGAGGTATTATTAACCATCAGTTACTTATTTTTATTGCCAGTTGTCTGAATTGTGTTTTTTAATCTTTTCAAAACTAGTCGAGTGTCATGGAGGCACACCCTGACACAAACGTTGCTAGTTTCTTAATACTGTGGCTCTAATTAACTATAAATGAACCCCGACCCAATAAACCCAACCCTCACAGAACAAAAAATATGCTGCACTTTCACATTTTCTAAATATTTGTTTTTTGTCTGGATGATTAATGAGGCATTTTTCTTGTGGGGACAAACAAAATCTCCCCACAAGGTCAACAACAACGACTGCCGGCAACATTTGATGCCACAATCTGATAAATACAAGGTACACACATAAAATTATTGCTCCTGAAGCTAGTTTTGTTATATATTTAATTCCCTTTTGAGCTCTGCGTAGTTATTATTTGTTTGTACTCTTGTGTGTTGATAGCAGTGAATTTCACGGGCTCTACAACATACTCCACTTATTTTCTTTTTGTTAGAAATTTGTTATAAATGTGTGTTTTTTTGCCTTTAACTCATTTACCTCCTTTTAACTCATTTTCTTTATCTATTTTATATTGGATAAATATTTTAGAAACTAATTTTTAGTTAAAAAGGAAAATTAAACTAAACTTGAAACATGACATTTTCTTCACAATGAAGCTGGTTTCCTCACAATTCAGGCAGCGGGTTATAAAATTTGACATTTTAAAAAACATGTTTCATAACGGTGCAGTGTCCCCTCCCATCTTGTTTAAAGACTCTGGTTTGTTTCACAGATGCTTAGAGTTTTTTTTTTTTTTTTTTTTTTGCTGGTCTACAAGCATCACCATGAAACAGACTCCTGAATTCAGGTACTTAAACAGTTTTTTTCCACAATACCTTAATTTTGAAAAAGCATTTGTAATAATAATAATAATAATAATAATAATAATTATTATTATTATTATTATAACAATAATAATGTTTTTTATATGAAACATCACAGTGTGCAGTGCATCACAGGGTCTATTGCTATGGTCTTGTTTATTCTCTTTTTGGTTTCTTGTGTCTTTGTATTGAGCGCGTGGTCTTTGGCGAATTCTAACCACAGGTTCTCTCTCTCAGGGGAAAAAACATACTTGAGTGCACTAAAAATATACTTACTAGCAAGTAAAGTAAAATCTTATTTTTTACTAAATAATAGTTGTAAAAGATTTTTAGAATATAGCAATAGTGTACTACTTAAAAAACACATTAGCGTATTTCCTAAAAGTCTCATTTGAATGCTATAAAATAGTTCAATGTTAGTATTCTAAGTTAAACTTATTCTAAGTTTAAATGTAATTCAACCTATTTTAAACACTAAGAAGAATCTAATAAAGGATCTGAGAATCCTTGTAGCAAACTTACAGTGTATGTGTGTTGTTTCTAGAAAGTAACCATTAGTTTGTGTTGTGTATTATTTAAATTTTTTTATTTTCATTATTCATTTAATTATTTTATTTAATAATATCTTTAGTCATTTATATAATTATCATTTTATTGATTATTACATCATGATTTGATTATTATTATTGATTATTATTTATATGAATTATAACCTTTTTCCTATAATTATTGCTTTATTATTATTTTATTTCTCCATATTGTTATACTCTTATAACTGTGTGGATTAAAGCGACTTGTTTTCATGAGTAAGAGATAAGAGAATGTCTCTATTTCAAGGTTTGCATTGTTTCAATGTTCTGATGCAATTATTATCTGTTGCTTGTGCTATGATAACACTTGTTGGATTTATTCTGGTCAGACAAAATCTGGGCATTGAATCATACGCAACTCTTTAATACTTCTCTTTCTTTATCATCATTACTTTGTCTCCTGCTTCTGCTTTTTTGGCTTTCTCAAACAACTCCTATTTTGATAGGAGATTGGTAATTCAGTCGAATACTGGTTAACAAATTTGGGTATTGGGCAGCTCAGCTGGCTTGTTGTCTGGATAGAGAATCAGACATTTTTTGACAGGATCTGATGTCTGAGGCTAGATTAATGTGGCACGGAGGATGTGTTCTAACAATTAGTAGATACATATTACCATTATTATATTATTGCAATAGTTCCAATGTGCAACTTTGTACATCAATTACCACTACCTCAAAAGTGCACTAAAATATTTTTAATTTAAGCACACTTACATTACTCTATTTCCCCAAACTAATTAATGTGCTGAAAAGTGCACACAATGTGCTGTGTGTATTGATTTCCCTGAGTCACATGATCAATGAAGCTTTACTTTCAGTCCAATCACATATGCATTTCACTTTGTGTCCTAAAAGATTTGTACCGCAGATTTTGCTTAGGGAGTCCTTGTTGGCTCTGGTTAATGGGTTTGTGATGCGAGTGCTGTACTTCAAAAGTTACCCAATATATTACATTTAAACAAACATTATTTATTTACTAATGTGTGTGTGTGTTTGTGTGTGTGTGTGTGTGTGTGTGTGTGTGTGTGTGTGTGTGTGTGTGTTTGTGTGTGGAGTAGCCTATTAGATCATTTTGAGTCATAATGTAGGCCAGTGGTGCACGAGAACCTGCAGCATACATTGGCGTAGTAATTGATCATGGAGGATGATTTACAGTACAGACTCAACATGTATTGACATGTTGTGCTCTAAGAAAAAGGCTCAGCCATCACACTATCCATGTTTACGTGTACTTTGTCATTAAGATTGACAGATTTTACTGAATCAGGTAAGCTGAATTGGGCTGCATAACTAATGGATGGTGTGGCTCAGTGGTTAGCACTGTCGCCTCACAGCAAGAAGATCACTGGTTTGATCCTCGGCTGGGTCAGTTGGCATTAAGTGTGGAGTTTGCATGTTCTCCACATGATTGCGTGGTTTTCCTCTGGGTGCTATGATTTCCCCCACAAGTCCAAAGACATGTGCTATAGGTGAATTGGGTAAGCTAAATTGTCTATGGTGTATGTGTGTGAATGAGTGTGTATGGGTGTTTACAGTGATGGGTTGCAGTTGGAAGGGCATCCACTGTGTAAAACAGATGCTGAAAAAGTTGTTGATTCATTCTGCTGTGGCAAGGGACAAAGCTGAAAAGAAAATGAAGGCATGGATAATATATATGTGTGTTGACCCAGTTAACCCAACTGTCTTTCTATGTATATTAAAAATAGTTTTGAAATGTTTTTTTTTTTCTTCCGAAACAGAAAATTTTGGGATGTAGGCAAAGAAGTGCCTTTTATTCAAGATGAACAGATGCCAAAGAAACTAACACACTGCCTGAAATGGTTCTCTTGTACCCTTGTTGGCATGCTCGTCTTTGTCCTTGCACTTCTCAGTAAAGTGAGCTGCTTTATTGATCAATGTCTAATTATTTTGGATTATGAGGTAACAGCTAATCTAAAACACTAAAAACTCTGTCATACTGAAATATTTTTTTGTCTTTACAGACATCATTTCTGCTTTTGATAACATTTGGAAATAATCAAACAGAAATTATTCCTTTAGACCAAAAACCGACTGCTCTACTTGCCATTGGGTTTGTTCTGGTCGGGCCAAGTGTTCTACTTCTGCTTAAAAGCACATGGAAGTTTATTTTCAAGAATGGTAACATGCCATCTAAAAAAACAGTTTTCTGGGTAAGCAGACATAATGTACCACCATAGAACCTAATTGTTTTAGCCATAACCTTTCTGACCCTGTCTTTTCCTCTATAGGTCCTTTGTGTTGAAATCCTGGTAGCATTGGGAGCTGCAGTTCTTACAATAGTAGCCATGCCACACTTTGACATTGTCACTAATGTGATGATTCTAAACAGCATAAGCATCCTATCTGCATTTTTTCAAGTGGATGCTGAGTTCCTCGGCAGAAAGAGGAAGCATCTTTTGATTCCCCCGTTTTTTTCCATTTTCTTTATAGTCCTGGGTTATGTGCTGTTTGCAGTGAACTATCTGGTATTTGAAAGTTCTCTCCGCGTATCAGTAGGACTTGCTATGTTTGGGACCATCTGTGTTTCTGTGAACTGGTGGGAAAACTACAGCCCACTTTTCACCATCCTGTCCCTAAAGAAGATTTCCAAAGACATGGTGAAGTCCAGTAATGCGGTGAGCATCATCTCCAGTTTGACAAGAATCCTGATTACTTCAGCTGTGATTGGAGCTTATGTCGCTCTAACAGCTGAAGGCTGGAAATCTGTTAAAATCGTCTTCGAAACGGTTGTCATTGCATTGGTTGTCATCCAGACTCTATCCTCAGCCTTGTGTCGCTGGTTTGTGGTTGTTGCTTGCAAGATGCACGCTTTGCGCCGTAGCTTTGTTATGCCCATGTACTTTGCCTCAATCATCGTTTTGGCAGTGTTTTTGTCTCCACTTATTTACACCCTCCCATTGTCTAATAACACTTCAATCACTCTAGAAAAAAGTGAATCCAGTACAGAATGGGTGGAGGTTTTGCTGACAGATGCTATACAAACTTTACTAACTAGGGACATTGTGGTAAACATGAAAACAGAAGGACTGGTCTGTTTGGGCTGTTCTGCTCTCTGCTGGTGGCTGGGGCTTGTGCTCAGCACAATTTACATCTGGTTCCTGAAGATCCATCGAATTGAAAGAACCCAAGATCTGTTTGTGCAACGCATGTATGAAGGAGCGTTTCTGGAGCAGTCCTTGATGCTGAACACCCGTTTTGAAATCGGAAAGAAAATCAAGGAGAATGAAGTGTAGGTGTTTCAGCTTTTTAGAGTCTGCTCATTGCATAAAATGATATTTGTTGTGATTTTAGTATCTGACACATCCTTTATCAGTCATCAACTTTTTCTAAATTAAAGCATTTTACATAGTAACATGTTTCCTTAACATTTACAAACATGATCTCTGAAATTTAGCAAAAATTGACATTAATCAAGTTTTTGCATTTGCTTATATGTTGCGTTTAAGAAAAAGACTTTTGTCACACTTGTAATACTTCTAGTGTTTTAACATTTAAAACTATGCTCACGTTTACTAAAATACCAAAGCCTGCAAAAAGCCTTCATCGATTTCAATATGAATTCAAACATTTGACTAGACTGTCCAAATTCAACTCATTTGTACTATGCCATTGCACTTTAGTAGCATTAAACTATTATTTCATGTATTTTACGCAAATTTTAAATAGGATACAAACCTTTATTTTGGATCACTTGTTGTTTATAACCTGAAGAATATTTGTTGTATGCTTTAGTGCAGAACCAACAAAAAAAATCAAAGTGTTTCTGTGTGCAACAATGTGGCATGAAACCTACGATGAAATGATGAAGATAATCATCTCCATGTTCAGGTAAAAATGCATTGACTAAACTCACTCAACTCAAGCAATCCATATAGAAATTTAATTTAAATGCTTTTTCATTTGCTGCCAGGCTTGATAAATATAGACCAAAACATGGAAAGCACAGTGATGTTGAGTTTGAATTTCATATTTATTTTGACGACGCTTTCAAGGATGTCAATAATGGAAGGGGGCGGCTTACAAATGAATACGCTGAAATTCTTGTGGACGTAATTAAAGAAATTTACATGTAAGAATCCTCCTTTGTTCTATGTTTACTCAAGCTGTACAAAAACAAACCTACTAATAATTTGAATTCATTAGCATTTTTAGTGAGGAGGATCCATGTGTGTTCAAGGAGATGCCATCATTACCAAGCCAGAAGATCATACACACTCCTTATGGTGGTCGACTGGAATACACCCTTCCAAATGGCAATGTCATGATGGTTCATCTCAAAGACAAGCAACTTATCCGTCACAAAAAAAGATGGTCTCAGGTAAGATTCAAAAAGAGGGACTACATGTGGAATTCTGAATTTATTGTTTCCGATGTATTTCTCCTGACATGAATAGGAGATTGCTAGACAACCAAACACTCTGAAAACAGGCCAATGAATGCCAATGAGTTGGCAGAGCTCAGCTCCGCAGGTACTGGTGATTATTCATTAGTAGAATATATAACCTGTGCACGTAGAGTGAGTGGTTACACTTTCGCTTCAGAGCCTCTCACATGATACAGAAGAGATCTTCTGCTTAGCTGTACAAAGCAGTAATTCCAGCAGTCCAGGCAATGACGAGAGGGGGTTGAATTGGGTTCCTTTCCTGTTCCCTGGGTGTTTTACTAGCGACTGAAAGAGCAGAATACCCTAAAAGTACAATTTGGTTGAACAACATGTTTTTTAAAAGATGTTGTTCCAACAGTGCGCTTCAGGATGCGGTAGCAGCCAAGGGGTACAAAGCGATTACCCAGGTGGAGCGTGCTACTGTGGTCAACCTTTACCTGCAAGGCATCACCACCTGGAGGGATCTGCCTAGACTATCGCCCAAGGCATGTAGATTATCCCTCTTGGCCAGAGTTTATACAGCCGTGGGCCGGGCTGCCTCCGCTTTGCACTCTATGGCCATCTATCAGCGCTACTAGATGTAGAAATTGGCTAAGTTGCACGAGGGTGGTTCTTCCCTGGGCTTAATGAATTAGCTCCGCACGGCGACCAACTCATGAGCACCAAGTTGGCCGCCAGTGCCCTGGGAAAGACGATGGCCACATTAGTGATCCAGAAGCCAGAATGGCAATGGTGGCGTGTATATTCCATATGGAAAATAAACGCTCCTGTTGCATGTCTCAGCTTGCCTACCGTCTGCTCCTTTGGAGTCACACGGGGTTGAAATTGTTGCTCTGGGCTCTCACAGCAGCTAGCTTTTCGAGGAAAATGGAGACTCCACTCCAGTGCAGTCCAGCTGATATAGGAGTAATTCTGGGAAACTTAGGTTTACCTGTTTGCTTTTGCTGAAATGTCCATTGACAGTTGCTTTATGACCGAGGCCCCTCTTGGCATGGATGCGCTGGCTTAGAACTAGTCCTGGGCATTCGCAAATATGCGTTTTGCCCAGTGAGCCTACCTGCACATACCTTGTGCAAGGTCAGGGAGGATGAGGGGCAGGTCTTGTTAGTTACGCCTCTATGGCCCAACCGGACCTGGGTTTTCAAACTCACACTCCTCTGGACAGCCCCTCCTTGGGGTGGAGCTCACTGGAGCACCCTCTGGCACCCGCGCCCAGATCTCTGGAACCTACATATGTCGTCCATAGATGGAGCAGGGAAGACCTAGGTGACCAACCAATATAGGTGGTTCAATGTATGTTCTTCTGAGCAACTCTTTATTCGTTACAGTGATTGACAGAATGGTAATGCTGTTTCAAAACAGAGGTTGGCCTACTGGATAGTTGATGCCATCACCCTTGCCTATTAATGCCAGGATGAGTTACAATCCCTGAGGGTGAGAACACACTCAACAAAAAGTGTTGCCTCCTTTTGATGTTAGCATGCAGCACCTCTCCCACAGATATCTGTAGAGCTGTGGGCTTGTTGACACTTACACATTTGTGAGATTTTTTCATTTTTGAGTGGAGCCAGTTTCCCCCCGATTACTAGGTAACTCTGGTCAGTTGGGAGGAAACTAAGCTTGGTGTCAAAAACGCTTACTGTGCCATGCTCCCTAACTCAGAGATACGTGCACTTATTCTGCTCTGCTAAAGTAAGTTCCCTATTTAGTGAACCCTAGAGAGTTCTTCCGAGGCCCCAGCACCTGAATCATCAGATGAGCTGGGCGCCTGGCCCAGTACGATGTCTGGTATGCCCACTTGGTCTACCAGAATGCTGAGGTTCAGTGCCAGCTATGTGCAATCCCTGTTGTGATCCCTTATGCGTCATTCAGCCATGGAGTATTCCCCGTTCTCAGACAGACCCATGACTTCATGTGTCTTGTCCATGTAGTGTTGTCCATCTGTAGCACTACCCTAGCTAGGGCTAGCCCATATGTCCATATTTCTGTCAGGTCTCCCTCACATTGGGTAGCAGGTGGCCTCTGCTGCATTATCCCACCTTTGTGGACTGCCACGCTTTCCCAATGTACTGTCGTGTTTTCAAAATCCCTAGACTACAAATAACCAAGTAAAAGCACATTTATTATGCCATATCTAAATTCTTCTAAATATTCCTATATAATGGTAATTATAGGGCCTAGGAGACATTGGAAGGTTGCGCCCTTGGTGATGCTTGTGCACTCATGCTTTGCTTGGCAAACTTCACATCAGGGTGTGACAGGATTAGCTGCTGTGGCATTTTTATACACTTTTAAATTCGTGTTCGAAGACACACATCGGAGTTCCCAAACGGGAATGTCTTAATTACTAATGAGTAAAGTGTAATCGCTCGCTCTGCGTACACCAGTTATATACTCGACTAATGAATAATCACCAGCCGCTGTGGAGCTGAGCTCTGCCAACTCATTTTCATTTATTGGTCTGTTTTCTTACTCTTCAGAGTGATTGGTCATCTAGCGATCTGTATAATCAAAAAATCGGCAACACCAAAGCTCCAAAAACTACCAATTTATTAAATCAAAAAGGCTAACACAAAGCAAGTAATGTTTCGAGCACACCAGCTCTTCATCAGACCTCCCATAGTAATCTCCTATTTATGTCCGAAGACACACATCTCTTTCCCTCAACAGGGAACGTGGGTTACGTTACTAACAAGATGGTTTTTGTGACACCAATGGCTGATAAGTAAACTACAGCCTGCAAATGAATGCATATGTTACCTACATATGAAACCTACTGCAATGTCATTGTGTCATGCAAATAAAGGGGTTAGTTTACCCCTTAATCTACAATGACGTTACAGTACATGACTCTTTCGGCACTACCCTTAACACTGTATAAGCGTAACAATAATTTCACTAACCATTTATGTTTTCAAGATAATGTACTTGTATTACATTCTTGGCTGGAGACTCAACAAACAGTACTATGAAAACCTTAAAGCAGGTGAAGAACCGGAACTCATTAAGAAGAAACTGAAGGTTATAAATTTACCTTTATTGGTTTTAACTTCTAGCATTTAGATGCTATCTCTGAAGCATTAATTTTGCATTACATGCTCTTTTAGAGTGACAGGGAGAACACATATATCCTGGCTTTGGATGGGGATACTGATTTCCAGCCGTCTGCAGTCATGCTGTTAATTGACAGACTTAAAATATACCCAGAAGTTGGAGCAGCCTGTGGCAGGATTCATCCAACAGGAACAGGTTGGATATTTATTAAGCATAGACTAGCGGTGTCCAAACTCAGTACTGCATGCACCACTGTCCTGTAAAATTTTGCTTGCCTCAACACATCTGTCTGGAAGTTACAAATATGCCTAGTAAGACATTGATTAGCTGGTTCAGGTGTGTCTAATTGGGGTTGAAGCTAAACACTGAAAAACACAGGCACTCCAGGACCAAGTTTCAAAACTCCTGAACTAGGGCAAGACCTAAATTATGTTTGACAGAAGCCCTCCAGGCGCAGGTATAGATACCCCTTTTATAAACCATAATAGGGCAGGGATGGACAGTTTCAGTCGTGGAGTTCCACTGCCCTGCTGAGTTTATCCACTGCCATATCACCCCACAGGCCAACACTGCTTACTAATTGAAGCTAAGCAGGGCTGAGCCAATTTAGAACCTGAATGGGAGACCTCATGGAAAAACTAGGTTGCTGTTGAAAAAGGTGTTGAAACTGAATTCTGCAGTAAGGTAGATCTCCAGGATAAAAATGATTGGACATCCCTGCTCTTAGGAGTAGGGGTGGAACCCTGGTGTTCTGGCCAAATTCCCTCCATCAACCCCTAACCATCATGTCCTCCCAATCATTCACATCCACTGATTTGGCAGCTTCACGGGTTCTCCTCTCCACCTGCAGCAGGGCAGTGGCCCAATTATCCTGTGACGGCCTTTACATCATCCAGATAGATACTGCACATGGGTGTTAGTAAAGGGAAACCTCTTTATGCAATTGTAAAGCACTTTAGATGTATAGCAAAACAATAAATGCACTGTATAAATGTACATCACTATTCACAGCACCTATGCATTTTGGCAAAACTTGATCAGGGTGACAATATTTGGTGCATATGGATGAAGACAAGTTTTGCTAAAATGTGTAGATGTCTTTTTTTGAATACTAGCCATGTCAATAAAATCGTTTTATATTTTCACCTTCTTTTCAAGTGCCTTGGGCTCATGATTTATTTACATACAGTTGTGTTGGATTAAGGATGAAGCTTAACACTGAACAGTGGCATTCAAAGACTAGAATTGCTCAGTGATTTTTAGGGGCTATGTTAAAAATTGTCCATTAAATCCAATCAAATCATGGTCTGATTAGTACTCATATGTTGTGTTAAAAGATAAGATGACCAAAGTAATTTCTTCTCTTCGATTTTAGGACCAGTGGTGTGGTATCAAAAGTTTGAATATGCTGTAGGCCACTGGCTACAAAAGACTGCAGAGCATGTATTTGGTTGTGTTCTGTGCAGTCCTGGATGTTTTAGTCTTTTCAGAGGAGCTGCACTCATGGATGACAACGTCATGAAGAGATACACAACCAAAGCCAGTGAAGCCAGCCACTATATCCAGTATGATCAAGGTAAGTTATTGACAAATAATATCAGTTCTTGAAGACCACTGTCCAGTAGAGTTTAGCTCCATGCCTAAACAAATACCTGAAAAATATTTTCAGGATTTCTTACAGGCAGGTGTATTTGATTAGAGGTAAACTCTTATGGGTAGTGAACTTTCATGACCAGAGTTGCTCAACTCTGACCTGGACTAAACTAATTCCTTTGGTGTAATGTTAGGTGAGGACCGCTGGTTGTGCACTCTACTGCTGCAGCAGGGTTGGAGAGTGGAGTACAATGCAGCATCTGATGCCTACACCAATGCTCCACAGGATTTTAAAGAGTTCTACAACCAACGCAGGCGCTGGGGACCTTCTACCATGGCCAACACTATTGACCTCCTGGGCTCAGGACAACTGACTGCTCAGAGGAACAGCTCTATCTCAAAACTTTATATATTGTACCAAGTTATCAGCATGGCAGCTTCCATCTTAGGTCCTGCTACTATTTGCCTCATGATATCAGGTAAAGTCAAGAATAGGGATAAACCAATGTATTGGTTGCTGTCATTGAACTGACAATACTAATTTAATTTGAAGTTATTAGCATATTAGCATAGATGAAAATATTGAGCTCACCCAGGATGTAAATGGAGTTGAGCGAAATCAATGACTTGTGACTCCAAAGGAGCAGATTGCAAGTGACCAGTGACATGGGGTGAAAGAGTGCACTCGGCTGCCCTTTTCCCTGCCAGGAACTCCTGGGCAAAGTCCCTGGCAGTGTCACCGAACAAGCCAGCCTGGCATATGAGGGTGTTAAGAAGACAAACTTTGACTTTGTCCCATATGTCAACCAGGTTAAGCCAAGAATGTTGTTCCTGGACCACAAGCATGGCCACCACTCTGCCCATGGCACAAGCAGCTGATATAAAAAGCATTGTCAGTCGCTTGAGAAGGAATCATCCTTGTGCACTTGGCAAGAGTATCGTTGATGGATAACCATGGCATGCAGGGCAGAGGTGGCCTGGCCTACAGCAGTGTAGGCTCTGGCTGTGAGGGATACAGAAAACCGTAGAGGATGGTGAGGGCAGAAGAGCTCAAGGACGAACAGAAGGGGACAGGACTTGTGAGGATTTTAATCTTTTCACCCATCTAGTCAGTCCAACTGCTGAGTTGGAGGTTTACCTCCAACCCAATCGCCAATGCTGCCTGCAACATAAATATGCTGTCTGATTCAGGGTTCAGGCAAACAGCCATGAAAGGCGACGGACCCAAGCATCCCTTGGAACATGATATTTCACTCCAATGGCGCGAAGAACATCTGTGCTCCAGAGTCATTGGATGTGAGTGAAGCCATCCCAAAGGATAAACCGACACACTCATCCAAAACATGGATTACACACAATGGATTAGCCCTCACTACAATCATGCTTTGCATCAGCCATGATCTAAGCATACCAAAAGACATTCCCACTCACTGTGGGCATGAACTGCTCAGCAGCGCTGCATCATCCGGCTGGACTCCCACACATAGGATACAGTGAAGGGAGAGAAGACCCTGCTCAACTGCCATTGAATGTACTGTCACAAACCCTAGCAGACAAAGGAAGCTCAGTTGAAATTGTCTCTTGTTCTTCAGAGGCAAGAAGGCAAAGAAGCGAAAACTAGCTATCCGAAGCTATCTGACCTAGCTAGTACTGTATGCAATTAGCCAATATTGTTAGCAGTGTTAAAAGCATTAAAATATCTTAATTGTTGTTAAAACCACTGTCATTGAAAACTTAAGCATGTCTTTTAAAATTAATGTTAACATCTGGTAAACACAAACCAACCTTACTCACTGCTCATTGACCCAATGGCCAAACGTCATCTTGGTGTCAACAATGGTGCTATGACCCATCATCAGACAATTAAAACCTATATGCCCAGGCGGCAAGCGAACAAGTTCATATGTTCTAGTATCAGTCTTTATTGCCAATGGGGGCCAGTGGAATAGAGTGAGGAGTCAAGTGTTATAACAAGGAAACTGAAAACCATAAACTACAACAGCAGTTGCTAGTGTACCTCTTCAGGGGATTGAGATTTACATGCACAGCTCTTATTACCTAGCCTCTATTACATTAAAAAATAAGGCAAAATGTTTCTATTGCCACATCTGTCTAAATGTGCTTTGTTTATTTTGCAGGAAGCTTTGTTTTCATCTTTAACATGGAGGAAAATAGTGCACTTGCTTTGGCTATAGTGCCACCTACAGTCTACCTCATCCTGTGCTTCAAACTGAAATCTGATGTGCAGATTACCATTGCAGCAATCATGAGCCTTCTCTATGCATTTCTGATGGCAGGAACAGTTCTCTCCATCATTGGTAATGACTTTGTTTTAAATGCAATTTTGAAAAATACCATATGATATAGTTAGATGATGAATTTTGCTTACATACACTAGCATTTGATTTTAGATTAATAGATTTTTACACATCATGTAAATGTAATGTTAATTTTTTATTTATCAAACCATCTTGAAAAATATTAAATGGTAGTTTCTATTTTAGACTGATAATATAACATAATATAACATAATATAATATAATATAATATAATATAATATAATATAATATAATATAATTAATATAATATAATTAATATAATATAATATAATATAATATAATATAATATAATATAATATAATATAATATTTGGCATTTACATATGCTAATTTAACTGTGTAATTTAAAAGTACAATCTAAATCTGCTCATCGACTAAAAAGCAATCACATTTACAAAGGTTTCTCTAAAAATGCATGTCCAGAATTAGTTTAACAACCAGTGACAAATGCACCTCTTACATTTCTTTCTTTTGTTTTTCCAACACCCCAGGAGATTTAGTGAAGCAAAATACTTTTATGACCCCTAGTGGTCTGTTTCTTATTGGCATGGTCATACTGTACCTCACCACAGCAGCTTTGCACCCTAAGGAGTTCTCAATGGTCATCTATGGACTGCTATACTTCATCTGTGTTCCTAGTGGCTATTTGCTCTTAGCCATTTACTCCATTGTCAACATGAACAATGTCTCATGGGGGACTCGTGAATCTGGCGTCCAGGTGAAGACTTCTGCATTAGACAACATAAAAAAAAAGTTCATGAAAGCCACCTGCTGCAGATGTCCATGCTTTGAATCTGAGGATGAAATGAACAAGGAGGTATTACAAGCAGAAAATACAAATAAAACTGAAATGCTACAAATGACATTGGAAATACAAAGGTAAGAATGTTTGGCGTGTTTTAAAGTTTTATGGTGTAGTGTTGTAATGTATAAGTTTTTAAAAATTAAAGTAATAGCTGTAAGATTACTTCTAATATTAATATTGTATTCTTTCTATGTAGTGCAAATGACTTCGCAATCAATACTCATAAAAGTATGTATTTTAATATTTCACATATAAAATGGTTAATATTATCATATTCTACAGTAGCTGTGAAAATGTAATGATCTGATTATTAAAACTATTACTGGTTTAGATAAACAAACTTGGATTGAACATTTGCTGCCGAAATTTGGTTTTTGCTTGACACCAGAATCTGAACTTTCTATGGTAAGACAAATTGTTTAAACATATTATGTTATATTATATTATATTATATTATATTATATTATATTATATTATATTATATTATATTATATTATTATATTGTCACCCTCTACGAGAAATGCCTATACCCTGAAGTGGAGTCTATTTGCTGAGTGGTGCGCTTCTCACGAGAAGACCCCTGAATTTGCCAGATTAGCGTTGTGTTATCCTTTCTTCAGATTAAGCTAGAGCGTTGGCTGTCACCCACCACACTGAAGGTTTACGTGGCTGCCATCTTCGCTCACCATGACGTGGTGGATGGCAACATCCTCAGGAAGCTTAATCTAATCATACGATTCCTTCCAGCCCTTTTCCTGTTTTGTGTGTGTTAAGTACCAAAGTAATGGTGTTGAAAACTGGATAATTTTGAACTTCTGTGAGCTAATTTCATCTTCCGAGTTTAAAATCATTTATTATGGTGGGATTAAAACTGGTGATGTATCGATATCTGCCTGTCCAGTGATGACATGTTGGTTCCCCTTCAGTGGGACTGCTGACGTGTGTGTCTGGAAGACACTTTGAGAGGACGCTAGCTGACCAATCACTCTGAAGAGTAAGAAAACGCCAATGAATGCCAATGAGTTGGCAGGGTTTGGCTTTGCAGGTGCCAGTGATATTTATTACTAAAGTATATAATGGGCACATGCAGAAAGGGCAGTTAGATCTTCGTCCTATTAAAGATGTCGTTCCAACTGTAATTTTCTGGATGCTGTAGATTTCTTGCCCTGGATGATAGACGCGAGTACTGCATCACAACTAAGGTTGCGGCACACTAGCATTAGGGGACCTGATGCCCATCGCTGCATTGGAAAGTGAGTTAACATGTTCCGATGTCAAACTGGACCCGCTGTCACTCTCCGAGATTAGAGTCGGACATGTTAGCCATGTTACCCTAGGCTATCTCGGCAGTGAAAGAGCAGTCGAATGCGATAGGTGAAGTCATCTATCAGCACGCTCAGAAAACTTGGCATGTCCTTAGACCTGCTCCGGCTCTTCAGCCCGCTCCACTGGCCTTTTTTTAAATTCTGAGGTAGACTTGAACTGATAGGGGGGGGTTTCATGACCCTTTAAATTACTTTTTGTCTTACAGGATGAAATCGATTTCTGGATAGATTTGCAGAAAAAATATCTAGAACCTCTAAAGGAAAATAAAGAACAACAGGAAAAAATAGCTAATGATCTTAGAGAACTTCGAAATAAGGTATGTCTCATTATTTTCTTTCAAAAATAGTTGAAGATTTTACTTTACTTGCTCTGAAACTGTATGGATTTACCCTCATGCTGTTTTGTTTTTTAAAATATAGGCTACATTGGTATATTTCTTCTGCAATGCACTTTGGCTTGTGGCAACTTTCTTTCTTCAAGCAATTGGTGAAGCGGTCTATATCAAGATCCCAAAAATCTATCCTAATGGGACATATGCTGCAAAAGAACTGTTGTCCCTTGATCCAATTGAACTGATGTTTCTACTTGGCTTTGCAGGACTGCTGCTAATGCAGTTTTTTGCAATGCTTTACCACAGGTAACTTGCACAAAAAAAAAAAAAAAAAAAAAATTACAGTTAAACAGTCACTGATAAAGATGCTTGTATTTTCTATATTTTTGATTGAAATTTGCTTTTGCTTTTCACCACACCACCAAGTGGAGATTATGCTATCAATGCAAAGTATGAATATATATATATATATATATATATATATATATATATATATATATATATATATATATATTGTTATGTCCTTGTGTTTCAGAATCTACACATTAATCCATTTTGTGGCATATGCTGAAACAGAAGAAAAAGCCCCGAGAAAGAAGGTAAGTCAATGAATTGCCCAAAGAAATTTTCCTTTTTCATTTTTTGGTTTTTATTATTCTTTCTTTCAAACTCCACTGTGTTCACATTTTGTTAGGTTGCACAGATCGTGGATGACAATCATGAGACTTCTGAGGATGACACAATATGTTTTGAGAACCCCTATGTTATGACAAGACATATAACTTATGTATAAGATTTTGGATTTACCTCTCAGTTAATAAGGTAGAGCAAACATAGTTGTTTAAATATTTGTTTAATGAAAAAACTTTAATGCCTTCAAATTTGTAAATGACATTGTGCTAATTAAAGGTATCACATGATTGTTACAGACTAAAGCCTTAAATGTTATTGATATTACGAGTGGTGTATCAAGTCAATTACAAGTCAGTTGTCACGATATAGAAGACAACACAGGACACAGGATTGACCGAACTTGCATTTCACTAGCTTCAAATATAGATGGGGTTCCCAGTATTTCTGAAGGACCTGCATGACATGGGGGTGATGATAGGCTAGGTATATCAGAATAGTATTGATGCAAACAATTGCAAAAGGATTGAGGAAGAGGTTGGGAAGATGGCTGGGGAGATGGAGAGTCCATACAGCATAACCTACAGCAGGCAGCCATTTTTGATCTTCGGTCTGAGGCAGGCTGCAATGGCAAGCAGCACCAAACCTATCGAGCAACTCAATTAGCAACATTGGATGTGCGTCAAATTTCGACACAGCATTTATTTTGCAATTATCCACACAGAACCAGACCCATCATCCATCTGACAATTGAGCTAGCCCAGTTGCTTTGGGACTTCTCTGCTACCCCCATATCCAGCATATTCTCCCATTCTTCTTGAACCATTTTTTTATGTTTTTTAATGTTCCGCTAAACAATACAGAACTGTTTTAACTACCACGCCTGGTTTGATCTCTATATGGGCTGAATCAAGTTGGTTTGTCTGGGCAAGGGTGAGAACACATCTGCAATGTCAAGCTGGAGGTGCTGAATGTTGATGAGCAGAGTGTGTGAGAGAGGATCACCCCTAGTGATCAGAACAACAGGCCAATCACAGCCACTGCTGTCTGATCCCAGGTCTTCCTTGTTTGTAACCATTGTCGTGAACATCACCGCCTCAGGCTCCCTCCACTGCTTCAGCAGATTTAAATGCTAAATTTGGTGTGCCCTGCTTCTGTCTGTATCCAAAACTTCATTATCAAGCTCCGCAACTCTTCATGTGACCACGAATGGCTCTTGCCAATTGGTCAGTAATTTTGAACCAGATGAAGGAAGCAGTACAAGCACTTTATCTCCCGGCAGGCACGTGCACAAATAGGGCTCAACCTGTGCAGTGCACATGCCCTTTTTAGTCTTGGATAGAAAGTGCCCTTCCAAAATGATCAAAAGTGCCCCCGCGACGCGGCACACCCTCGGTCCCGCCCTTCAGTAGGCGCGCGACAACACAGCTGATCAGTACGCACTGCTCCCCTCCCCCCCCTCTTCAAAAAATTTATCCTGCACATGCCCTTTGGACGGTCTCTGCACGGGCCTGTCTCCCGGTGCAAATTAAAGTAATTTAGTGCCTCATATCGCTAGCACTTTTTGATTCTGAGCCTTTTGGTAAATTCTGAGCAAATTTTGGTGTTTCTCACCACTGCATAAAGGTATTATGGGAATTTGCCAGTATCTTTTTGTTAAGTCCGATGTCAAGTAAAAGTAAGCAGCACCCAACCAGTTGAGCAACTCGATTTGCAACATTGGATATGCGCCAAAATTTCGACACAGCATTTAATTTGCAATTATCCACACAGAACCAGGCCGAGCCATCTGTCTTGGGCACTAAAACAATTGAGCTTGCCCAGTTGCTTTGGGACTCCTCTACTAACCCCCTAATTCAGCATATTCTTCCATATCTTGCATTGGGGACCCGGATCAGGGCATGATCCCCACTCCCGCATTGCCAGCTCACCAGCCCGGACCTCCCCGCTGTACCCCAAGGTAAACAGGACCAACTGATTGAGTTGGAGAGAGAAAAGGTGCTGTGCTGGTTGTTGCTGGTAGCCTTGACTCCACTCTGCCTTCTTTTGTGCCCACCCTCCGCTCCCTTAAAATGCCTCCTGGGCATTCGTCTGGGTGCCCGGTGCATTCTGGACCTAGGAATGAGGATAGGTGGAGAGACAGAGAGAGAGAGAGAGAGAGAGAGAGAGAGAGAGAGAGAGAGAAACAGCATGGCTGACTTCTGCTGTGGTTAGTTCAACAACCCTAGAACTTACTACCAGATCACCCTTTGCCACATGAATTCCAGGTCAAGCCCAAGGTCTATGGCTTTTGACCCAGTGTTTGGGAGGGAAGGTGGGTGAAGAATTGCTTCAGTATGATGCCATCAGCGACCTAGTTGACTCTCTGAGCATCCTGCACTAGCCATCTGTGGCAGACTTCATAGAGCTGCTGAGCAAACACGAAGGTCCGGAAAATGGCTCACTTTAAATTGGTGTAGACCAGGAGATTCTGGACCAGTAGCTGGTGAGCGGCAATCTGGGCTTTCCATCAGTTCTATTACTGAGAAGCAGGCAGTGGGTGAGGCTAACTGGTGAGCATCTTCAGGTATATGGAAGATAGCTAGTACTTGGGAAATATGGGTGGCTCATTGGACCAAGGCGTCCAGGCCAAAGGTGTCATCAAAGATCACCATATCACCATAACTTTGATGCCATTACTCAATCTTTGTTGTTAGGTTCTCAAAAGAGCTGATTGCTTGCATCCACTAGCTACTGCCAGAGTACAAAATTGGAGATAGTAGTCTGTGATGACGAATGATCCTTGAGAGTGATGGAAAAGTTGCTCTGCGGTACAGTGCTCCAGTGGCTGTACTGAAAACTTCTGCAAAGTGGTTCATGAAATGGGAATAAAGCTTAATGATAACTTTGTTAGCGGTCCATACTGCCTTTGCCCAAAACAGTGCTTTACCAGTAGTAAGATGAGAAAAAAAACTATTTAGAGCTCTCTACGGGGAATTAGGGGAGTAAGAAAACGGAAAGTGCCAATGAGAAAGGCAGATGTAGCTGTCATAGGTCCCAGAGCTGAAATGAGAGATGCTTTAAGAGCTGTAACCATTTCAATGAAGTGGTTTGGGGGTAAAGGTGGTTGGGAATCCATGGGTTAGTGATGAGGTTCGGATTTTTGTCACAATATAGCAAACAACAGACAGAAAGAAGTGCAAAACAGATTGGTTTAATGACAAACTTGAGGAATGAAATGCAGATTTGGTAATGGCTACTGAAAGTCCTAGTTTTATCTATTTATGATGAATTGCGGGAGTGTAGAATAGGGAAACGGGATAAACATCCAGGGAAGACAACGGTGAACACAAGTATACAGGAAGAAGGAGTTAGTCAAGTGAGTTTGGGTAAGTGAACTGTAGACTGGATGACATGTTCTATATTTGTGTCTTTGTAAGTGATGCTGATTAGGGAGTGCACAGGTAACAGGAATCAGAGCGTCTAGGATGCTGGGAATTAAGTAGGGGCATGGCTGGTGGTGAATGCCTGCCATCAGTACATCATTTCTAAATTATTATGATTTCAAATATCTTCATGTTCTATTCCTGAAAGCAGTTAACAACAAGAAATTGAAAAGTTATACAAACATTTGAAATAAAAGCATTTTATATCTTCCAGAGCCAGAGCCTCCAGATCTAGACCCAGAGTCTTCAGACCTAGAGCTTCTAGTGCCTGATCAAGGCCTCCTTTGCTCCATGGTCCATACACACTTTCGAACCACAGACTTGGCTCTCCATCCTACACCCTGTTCCATCACCCTCCTTGACTCTTTGTTTTTCTGTTCATTTGAAATTCACACTTTTTAGGGAGTATGGGGTTTTCTGCTACATGTCATGTTCCTGTTTGTGTTTGTTGTATTTTTGCTTCGCCCTCTCCCCTTGTTTCCTGTGCCATGCCCCTTTTGAAATAAGCCCCTTTGCTTTTCTTACTATTTTTAAAAACGTAATTTAGTCATGATTTATTGCTGTCTATGTTCTTAGATCCTGCCTTGTTTTGTTCAATAATTATTTATTATGATAAACAAAGATGATCAGGAAGGCGGATCAATATTGCACTAGGGATGGGACAAAATTCAGTGCATTTCGATTCTTTCTCCAATGATTCTGAATCGATTCTGAAAAGTTAACAATTGATTCTTTTTTCAAATTAGTCAAAACAGAAGAAAACTCCAAACAGAAAAATAATAAGCGTTTATAGGTGTGAGGTGTGGACCAGTGTGGCACTTTTGATCCGTTGTGTGACCGGCTTCAAGACACTGTTCAAAATACTTCTGCCACTGAAAGTGAAATCTTTTCATCATAAACATGATGATGCTGTGCCACACTGCACCACTGACCTGGTGTGCCAGTGGTTTTGAAATCACTAAAGGAGGCACGTAATACATGGACACCGATTACAGAATCGTAGGTCATCATTACAGCACACTCAGTTATGAGTGAAGGCTGCCGGCTTGTGTTCTGCAAATGCAGGTTGTGAATGAAACTGAATTAAGTTTACAGCACATAGTTTTGAAAAATTACAATGTTTTAAAGCTTGTTTTATGCTTTAAGCTGAATACTAGTATCTTGCAAAATACTTTGTAAAATATCATTTATTTACAATGACAAGGATGAAACAAATTAGTTATTAAAATGAATGTTATTGAAAATTGTTTTCTCTCATAGAAAGCACTTAGGAATATTTAAAAAAAGAATCATTATGTTGCAAGAGAGCTAATAATTTTGACTTCAACTGTACACACACACACACACACACACACACACACATATATATATATATATATATATATATATATATATTCCTCATTATAATGCTACCTTTTTTGGAATATGACTGTTTGTCCTTTATATATATTTTTTGTAACCTGGTGTTTTAATGTTACTTTAGAGCCCTGGCCACACTGCACTTTTCACCCCATAGACGTCCATTCATACGCACGTGAATGTGACAGATTGAAAACACAAGCTCGTGTGACAAGTTTTGCAGTTCGCTGCATTGGAAAGTTCATGCTTGTTGAACTCTGACCTGCGAAATTGCATCACATGAATGAGTAAAACCAATCAAAGATCAAAACATGACCTCTCTGGACAGAAATGTAAAATATGGACCAATCACTCAATTTTTTAATGTCTAATCATCTTGTTTCATCCCGTCACCTTACGCAAAGCAGTAGGACATAATTTCGCAAGCTCAAACTCTAGTGTGACTATGGCATCAGAGCTTCCTGAATAATTCTTTAGTATAATAAATAATTGTTAAGATGCCTACTGGCATAC